TTTTTAAATTTTTTTTTTTTTTTGTCATATATGGAAATAGCATGTTTGTTACATGTAAAAGCTTCCCAATATAAAAAAATACTAATGTTTGGAGATGCCGGTCTTTGCAAGTGTACAGTTTTCAAATGTTGTTCCCAGTGAAACACCCTCGTGATTTCAACTTGCTCCGATGTATTTATTACTCATTTCCTCCCATGTAACTAGGAATCATGGCTATATTTCATATCAACGTTATATTGAAAGTGAAGGGAGATGATTAATACAAGGTTTTGTAACACTGGGGTGTGGCGCCTCCTTATTTACGCTCTTTTTGGCAGATGGCCTCGTACTTTTTAAAAAATAATAATAATAAAAGACTAAAATAAATGGCCAGCCCCGTGGGGTAACCGGGGAGGAGTAGTTGCATAGTTGTGCATGGGGGGGGTGTTATTTTTATATAAAGCCTGTGGCAGGGCTTATAAATCCTCAGCATTCTCCATGCAGCCTCTTCTCTGTCCCTTTGGGACACCCACGCCCCGGGAGCTGTTTAGATACAGGATTTTCTTTTGAAATCAGCAGGAATCGGGGCCAGAGCAGCTCAAAGGCTGCAGCTGAGGCGCACAGAGGAGCCAGCTTGGCTGAGAGCCTCAGCACGTGTGTGTGTGTGTGTGTGTGCATGGAGACATTTGGGTCGAGTTCTTAAGGCTGGGCTGATTCTGGGCTTAAAAGCTGCAAATTTCAGACCCACCTTGAGCCGGAGCGGGCAGGGGAGGATGCTCTGAGCTGGTGCTGCCGTGAGCGCTGGGCCGCAGGAGGTGCCGAGGGCAGGACCATCGCTTCTGGCCCAGGTTTTGCCATCTTGTCTCAGCTTTGGGCTTGGTCGCCTCGCTGAGGGTGGCAGGGACCCCCCCAGATCGCCCCATCGCACCCCCTGCTCGGCAGGGGCAGTGAGGGCAGGAGGCTCGGGGAGGGGCTGGTTACCTCCGCGCGGGTGGTGGCTGCACAACCCCGCCGGGCAGCCTGGTGCAGGGTTAGACCACACTTACTGGTTAAAAAAAGGTTTTTTTTAATTACATTTAAATGGAATTTCCTGTATTTCAGCTTGTGGCATTTCCTTTTTAGCTTTTTTGCCCGCCCCCTGCAGACACATCAGTAAGATCCCCCTGAGCCCCCACTTCTCCAGGCTGACCAAGCCCAGCTCCTGCAGGCTCTTCTCAACCACTCCAAGTTTTCAATCATCAGCTTGGCCATTCACTGTGCTCGTATGTCCCTGTCCCTCCTGTACTGGGGAGCCCAGCACTGGCCCAGCACACCACGTGTGTCTCACCTGGGCTGAGCAGAGGGGCAGGATCACCCCGGCCTTCACCTGCTGGAGATGCTCTTCTTAACAGCCCAGGATGCTGGCGGCCGTCCTTGCTGTGAGGATGGGTTGCTGGGCTTGTGGTGTCCACCTGGACTCCCAGATCCTTCTCTGCAAAACTCCTTTCCATCCCATCAGGGTGCACGGGGGTGGGGGGGTTATCCCTCACCAAGGGCAGGACTCAGCCCCTTGCTGAATTTCTTGAGGGTTCTCACAGCTCATTTCTCCAGCCTGTCCAGGTCACAGAATCATCAGGGTTAGAAAAGCCCTTGAATCTCCTCCAGTCCAACCATTAACCCAGCACTGACAGTCCCCAACTCCACCAGATCCCTCAGCGCTGGCTCAGCCCGACTCTTCAACCCCTCCAGGGATCCCGGGGACTCCCCCCCTGCCCTGGGCAGCCCATTCCAACGCCCAACAGCCCCTTCTGCACAGAAATCCTTCCTCAGAGCCAGCCTGACCCTGCCCTGGGCAGCTTGAGGCCATTCCCTCTCTGAACAGCAGCATGACCCTCTGGTGCATCAGCCACTCCTCCCCGTTTTGTATGAGCAGCAGATGTGTCCCAGTGTCCAGGTTATTAATAAAGAGTAGTTGGCCCTGTTACTGACCCCTGGGGTACACTGCTGCTGACTGTTCTCCAGTTGGACTTTGTGCCAGTGAACCCAGCCCCTCAGCCAGTTTTCAACCCACATCACTGTCAGTTTATCCAGCCTGTACTTCACCAGCATCTCCATGAAGATGTTGTGGGAGACGATGCCAAAAGCCCCACTGAACTCAGGATAAAGCACCCACTGCTCTGCCCTCATCCACTGGGGCAGTGACGGCACTGCAGAAGGCTGGGTGGGCACGTTCCCTTCGTGAAGCCACTGACTGCTCCCCATCACCTTCTTGCCCTTCAGGTGTCTGGAAATGGCATCAAGGATCAGTTTCTCCACCACGTTCACAGGGGTGGAGGTGAAGCTGACTGGCCTGCAGCTCTCCCGAGCCTCCTTCTTGTCCTTGAAGGAAGGAGGGACTTTTGCCCTCTTCCAGTCCTCAGAAACCTCCCTAGCCACCGAGACCTTTCCAAGTTCACTAGCAGTGGCTCCCACAGCGCCCATGGGCGCAGCTCATCAGGCCCCATGGACTTGTGCATGTCCAGGTCCCCCACCAGAGCCAATGCCAGGCAAGCTTTGGCTTCCTCAGCCACATCCCTGGATGCCCACAGTGTCCCTGTGCTTCTCCCAGGTCCCCTGCCCCTGCTTCCACCTCTTGTGCCTTTTTGAGTTGTGTTGGGAGCTCCTTGGGCCTCCAACGCTGCCCCTGACCTTCATGTCCCCCACCAGTCCTTACTGGTACGCAAGCACAAGGTGCAGCAGAACATCTGCCCTCGCTTACCTGTGTCAGGACATCAGGGGTGCCCTCCAGAGACCTCGTGGGTGGCCTGGGCCCTGCTGCAGTGTCTCTCCAGCAAGCATCAGCATGGCTAATGTCCCCCATGACGAGCAGAACCTGCCAACATGGGACTTATTTGGATTTCTTGAAAGCCTGATCCGCTGCTTCTCCTTGGAAGAGGCTCCTAGCAAGCTCCCCGAACGCTGATGAGGCCAAGCACCCCCCAAAAGCATGTCCTCGAGCTCCTCCTATTTAAAGGTGCTCCCAAGCATCACGAGCTGAGCCACCCCAGGAGGGAAAGATCAACTGTGGTGTTTGGTCCCACCTGAATTGCCCTGCTCAGGAGGGCACCCGCATCCGCAGCTCACAGGCAACAGCTCCCTGCACCCAACGTCAGCCCTCCCAACGCTGCTGAGCAAAGCATCACCTAAACCCCAGAGAAATGCCATTTCCTTCCATAAACAGTTTGCTTTTCCACATACATGTGCCTGCTGTCTGGGCCTCAAAGATGTAAAGGGAAAAGTAAGAAGTCCTGGGATGGAAACTCGAAGCCGGAGGGACTGAAAAGGCTCCAAGGAAAATCCGTGTGGTTAGGGAGAGTCTGCAGGTCCTGCCGACGGGTGAACTGGAAAGAGGCTTAGAAAAGGAAAAGCAAGAGCTAAAAAACCTATTTCTGTGCTGTCAGGAGCTCTTGGATGAATCCATACTGGAGACTTAAACGCTTTACCAACCTGTACTCCCACATTACACCATGCCTGAGCCCTGTCCAGCCCGAGGGAGCCAGGATTTTGTTCACCTGCCCTGCGGAGGCTGCAGCCCACATCCAGCTGGGAGAAAAGACAGGGGCTGGTGGCCACTGTTTTAGCAGCTGCTGAATTGTTTTGGTCTTGGCAGTGTCCCCCAGCAGCACGGGATAACCCCAGGTTGTCCTGTTAACAGGGTCTTTTCTACATCTACCCCAAAGGGTGATGGGGAGGAGCCAGCACCCAATGGGCTGATGCTCTTGTCCCTTTGGCCCTAACCCCAGGCTCCTGCTGCAGGTACAAATGCCTCATATTTAACAGCGAGGGGAATAGCCAGGGGAACAATTTCTCAGCAGCAATAGGCAGGGATTTCCCATTACAGGAAAGTTTTTAATCAAGATGGAGAGGGCTTTACCAGAAGAGTTCCTGGAGTTCAAGGAATAATTAATTCCCTGAGTCTGTTGGCTGAGGCTGCGCGGGAGAGGCTGGATGATAACAGTGGGCTGTCTGCCAGCCAGCGACCCGCTCCCAGAATATACCAAACTGCTGCTCCTGGGAGCCCCAGGCTGGCAGCCCACACCAGCAGCACAGGGCTCGTCACCAACACCGTGACTGTTCTGCTCAGCGTGGCTTTTGTCACTCCCTCGTGAGCGGCGAGCACTGCCACGTAGCCCCCCAGAGAGGAAAATATTCCCGGAGCTGGTGCATTCAACCACGAGGCTGCGAGGGGCTGGGCGTCAGTGGCCTGATGCTGTTCAGCCGCAGCAGAGGCAGCTGCTTGATAGTGCTTTTGGAGAGTGAATTCACCGCGGGGCTCAGCAGCATCTCTGGGTGCTCCGGGGAGCCGTTTTTAATTGGGATCTGCAAATAGCTCGGTGACGTGCGCCCGGCACGGGCACCTTGAGGCTGCGGCATCGCTTGAGCG